GGCCCATTTGGGCGCTTTTTAGTTGTCCGACGCCTAGGCACAGTTTAGCTCACGGACACACAGTAGGCCGGCCCATCCCGCACTTCCCCGGCGCCTTTGCCTCTATTTCCTCTGCTTACCCAAGCCGGTAGCACCGCGCCATTGCCTCCGCCACTCGGCTCCCCATCCGCCACTGGTCATCGTGCCCTGCCTCGCTCCTCTCTCCTTTCTCGACAGGCCAAGCACCATGCCCTAGCTTTGCCGTCCAGCCACCGGCACCGACCCTCCCTATGTGTCCTCCAACCAACACCGGCCATGGATCCTCCACCTCCAACAGCACCGGCCCTCCTCGACTGAGCCTTGTCGTCGCCTTGTCGTCTCCCACTGTCCCATGCACTACCACCTCCACAACTCGACAAGCCGGACCTCCCCTTCGTCTGCAACAGTAGCTTCACGCCCCTGCCGCCCTCTTCCAGCAAGCAACACCTCTGCTGCCACAACGTATGACGTGGGCCCGGCTGCCACTGCCCGCTTCACCAATCACCATCGCTGGATCGCCACGTTCTTCCCAGATCCGAAACCCTGCCATCGTAGCCGCCTTACTCAAAGACCCGGACATCCACAAGTACCCCCTCGAGCCCCTCATGTACCGCTTCCCGTCGCTCCCGCGAGCGACCGAGGGGGCGAACCCTACCTGCCGTCGGGGCTAGTCCTCCTCCAGCTCCCTCCATCGCCGCAGCCGGTGCGCGCCGCCAATCTGGTCGGCGTAGGCGGCGTCGGGGATCTCCCTTCTCCTCGCTCAATGTCGCGTGGCGCGGGACGACAGCTTCATCGATAGCGTCATGCTGATCCAAGGCACAGCCGCGTGGCGGCAACCGGCGGCGACGCTTGGCGGCGCGGGTGGAGATTGGCTGGGCATGGCGTGGCGTTCGGCTGGGCATGGCTAGAGGATGGAGGTGGGGCTGGGCGTGGCCGGTAGCAGTGGCGGCGTCCAGCCCGGATCCGGTCTTGGCGTGGCAATGGCGACGGCTGGCCTGGATCCGGCCATGGTGGTGGCCGAGTCCCCTCCGTCAGGGATGACGGGCCAGGTGGTGAGTCCTTGTGGCGGCGCCGGTGGCGGCGGATCTTGGGATCCCGTGTCCGGGCTCGTCGCAGGACGTGTATGGCGGCCGGAGTTTCCTCTAGCGTCGACGGTGCTTGATGCGGGATCGCGACGGCGGTTGCCCTTGTATAGGCGACGACAGCGGTTGGCGCGACGGTGGGTACTCCCTGTAGTGCCCGGAATCGGGGCGGCGGCCCCTCTTCATCAACGGCGGCGGACTACAGGGTCGTGTGGGCGACTCGGAGTCCGGATCTCGAGGTAGTGACGGCCTTCTGAGGCTGGTGGCAGTATTCGACGTCCCTTCCATCAACAGATCGGGTTCGATGCGGCTCGGCAGATGACACGCGTGCCTCTTCCGGAGTTGTCCGGCGGTGCCTGCCGTCGACAGATGAAGCCACCGGTGGATGCGCTACCGGCAATGCTACGCACGACGTCTTCTATGTTGACGTCAAGTCATGCCTACTTCCTGCAGGTGATGCACGATGGCTTTGGCGGAGGTGTCATGTTTAGCCTATTGTTGTTGGATCGAAGGTGGTGCGACAATAGCGGGAAGCAGGCAGTATGGGACGTCTTTGTCTTCCGTTGTCTCCTCCAAAGGTATCCGTTATCAAGGCGTCGGTAGACGGATATGGACGGATGGTACGGACAGCTTCAACGACGAGTTTATGCACTCTGGTGGAAACGCAAGATCTCTGATCAGGCTATGTCGTCGCGCTCCTATGCTGTGTCCTTGCTGAAGGTGGTGGATTGAAGCTTGGCTTTGGGGATGAGAATCCGGAGTTCAACCTTGTGGTGGACTGGCCGTCATCGGCGCACGTGCAGCGATTCCTTCTTGAAGGCGTAGCCTAGGAGTTGTGTATTTTTTGTTTATGTTGTGTCTTGTATCACAGGGTTAGTGGCTATCTGGGGGAGTTACTGTCGCAAGGTATACGACGGCCTCAAGATTTGTTTTCCGCTTTATTTCCAGGTCGGCGTTCGGCTGCTGGATTTTGCACTATTAATAATATATGGCTGCATGCATCGTGCTGATGAAGAGGCTGGGGGTTATCCTCTTCTTCGAAAAAAAACAAGTACAATCGACCCCGAGCTTCAAACCACCAAGAGTAAATTGCTCAGAACCACCGCATATGTGGCCAGGGTGACAGATTGCTAGGGTAACCAAAAAAACACCGCTTCTAAAGCCAATGAGCAACCAAAAACACTGATTCAGTGTTTATGATTTTTCTCGGATAGGATCCGAAGATGACGTGAGCTACAAGAAAGGACTGACCATGTACCAGGCTACTGGTCCAACAGGCAAGCAAAACCTCGAACATTCCGACACATCCTATGCTTTCTCCCTACAATGTTGTAGTGAGTTCCGATGCCTATTCTCGTGCATAGCATGATTATTGTCACCTGATAGTCTTACCTAGACTAAACAAAACTTGGCTTCAGTTTGAGTGGTTTGTTCCTCTGTATGAGGCACACCTGAGGTCTTTTAGGTTCGACGTGCGTCGTCTATTTTTTTCTTCTATTACTTTCCAACTAATGTTTTTGTCTGTTGGCTGATAGTAGGACCCACACGACATAGTAAGATTGAGAGACAGCGCGGCTGACAAGTAGTTTTCGCCAATTTTCATGGTCAACAGCCTTGGGCCGGACTGTAACAGTTCAGGATGGCATTTGTTAGCACGCATCTAACGGAATAATGGCATTTTTTAGCAGCTGAAACTTCTAGTGGCAAAACTGAGTGGTGGCACTGGCACACAACTGGTGGCACAAATGATAAAACCACTAACAATTGATGATTAAATATGTAAATACCTTTTGTCATCCATCTTTATTATGTTAATAGCATCATCCTCAACACCAGTGTAATGACTCCCTTTAACCAGCTTACAAGGGATACCAACAATATCAGCAAGAATCTGCAATAACACATAAATGTAAGACATGAGCAAATATGCTCCATGATCATGCGCTAGTTGTCAAGCCATGTGGAAGAGAGTTAACACTTGTGCAAACAAATTCCTACATTACTTCACCAGGTTTGGTTATCTAATGTTCAAATCATTTATAAAAATCTAAGTGAACAATGTCACTTCATAATTCTGCTTAAAATCAACAATATGATTCCTAACTTATTTACCAAAGAAAATAAAAGATAAAATGCACCATTCGTCACTGTGCAAGCACTAATGTATCACTTACGAGCTTGCGGGTTGCATATCTAGATCCCTAAAACTGTAAGTGTGTCATAACTTATGCCATGGCAATGGCACACTGACGAAGCTAAAATATCAGCATATGCTTGCTAAGTAATACCAATAAAGATTAAGCTCAGGCATTATCTTTGTTGAAGTGTATATGTGGATTGCCTACCATTTCCATTAGTTCAGACTTTGGTTGCGTTGGCTAGTGCATGAAGTCCATCCAAGCAAATAGGAGTGGGACCTTTGATGACCGACTTGTTTAGGGACATAAATGTATGTAAATTTTCAAAATCCAAGTGATACCCTTGCAAGTTTAGGCGCCTATGGTGCACTTCACTCTAAATAAAGACACTGTAATCATTCATGGGACAGTATCACAGTCTAATCTGTAAGATGCCTCAAAGGAATAACATCACAGAAGGTGGCGGAAATAAACTGTTCATAGATACGACAATTTGCAGCATAATGACCAATCCTTACTAAATTGCTTATGGATATAAACATACAGTGCTAAATTTCTGGTTTAATTTGTTTATTACATAAAAGATAAAACATAAGCATTTTTGTTGAATTTTCATCTGTTAGTAGCCAGGAAGCAAGTGAAGAATTGGTCATGGCCACTCCACACGTCTTCCGTAACTTTGGGAGAAGGAACATTTTCACTCAGAGAGAGAGAGAGAGAGAGAGAGAGAGATGACCTTGAAAAGTAAGGCGCGATGGCGAGACAAGCCTATCTCTATACTGCCAATATGCAGAAGGCTTGTCTGGTGTGATGTCCTCTGCTCAATGCTTTTGCTCAACCACCTAGTGATCATTTCATTTGCATCGATCACTGGACCACCCATGTGATCTGCAACAACTTCAGCTATTCGTCGCACCAATACTGTAATGTCAGGACAGCCCAACAGGCAGCATTCTGCTACTTCCTTCATCTCCTGCAGAGCATTATCAAATTTATAGTCGACCACAATTACTTCATATCCAAGATCCCCAATGCTCATCTGAAGCTCTGCCAGTGAAGGTATTTTGCCCTGCCCAGATGATTCCGCAGAGAGGCCAAATATGTCGTAGAATCCATCAATTACTTTCTCATTGTAATCAAGAAAGTTATAGTCCTAAACAAAATAGAAATTATAATTAGAATGGACAGATCAACAAAGCTAGCACCAAAATATACAGAAATCAGAGGTGAACAACACCCGCTCATCAAGTGTCCTGTGACTATGAACAGGTAGTTGGCAATGAAGATCATGCCTGTAAGATAGCACAAAATATTGCCTAGTGGTTTGCAAAACTTCCCCGAGAAGGTGAGCCATTTCTAAATGATAGTATCACTTTGGCATATTATGCTCAAAATGGACGATAGAACATGAATGAAGACCAAAGGATTTACGAAAAGGTCAGTAACAAATGAGTCCAGGTCCAGTTTATAAGTCAAAAGCATGGCAAGGAAGAGAGTTCAACACATAAACACTGTGTGGTTGAAGGACACAAAACAACACAAGCAGTTTTCTCAAGGAAGCATGGACACATTGTCGTGCCTGCTATTTTGCCTCATGTGCATGTTTATGTCACTGTGAGCATGTTGTGTTTGTCTCTCCACATTCGTTCATTCATGTAATCATCGTGCAACTACAAGTGTCTGCTCAAATGAATGCGTGCGGTCAACCAAGCAATGCTGCAATCTTTATTTCTATGTTCATTTTTCAAAGATGAATTCATATTTACTCAATTTTGAATTTTCTGCTTGACATGTTGGAATTTATCGATGGAAGTGTTACAACTGCAATAAGATATCCAATTAGCTGAACCCTACCTTCTAAGTGCTTATCTCACATACTGTTAAGCCTTGGTTCCCTAGAAAGGGATAAATTGGCCTTGTTTGGTGTTAATGCGTCCAGGAGATAATATATTCTAATACAAAAATGATTGTAGTCACCAGCGACTCTACTGAAGGAATTAACAGGATTTGGATACTCACCCTGTAACGGCGGGAGAGCGACTCCGGGGTGTCTCCCCCACCACGATCGGTGTTGGTGACCGGGTCGCCCTTACCGAGGCTCATCAGCTTCGCCTTTCTGATCTGCTCCCCGTCGGGATCCCCAGCGCCCTCGGCGCCCGACGCCGACGCTGATAGCGCCAACGCCAGCTGCATCTGGTACTCTTCCTCCTGCAAAATGAACTCATCCCCTGCCGCCTCTGTCGACGCCACGGGAGGAGGAGCAGACGGCGCCGATGGAGACGATGGCGCCTGCTGCTGCTGCTGCGCTGCAGCCGAATTCGACGGCCCCGCGGGCTCGCTGGATCGGTGCGACCACTTGGTCACAAACGGGATCTTCATGGCGTTCCCCGCGAGCACCTAGGGTTTGGGTTTCGAAAAGATTTCCTCTCTTAGTTGTTTCAGTTTGGCGATGTGATCGCGGATGTGAGATGGGCGGAAATGGTGAAGACGCGGAAAGGGAGGGGGGTTTAAGAAAAGTGGTGTCGATTAGTGAGTGCTGAGCGGCAGCGGCGGCTACGGGTGGGATTGATGAAGCATATCTTGCAGGAGTAGTGATTATCTCTACTTTTAATCTCTACTCTTAGGGGTTGTTTGGATAAAGCGTTTGTAGAAAACCAGATCTTGTTAACCGCGATTTCTGGTATAACCACCTAAAAACTCGTTTGGGTAAACTAATTTGCGTATATGCAAAACTGGGTTTTATAAAAGCCCAAAAAGGCAGCTTTTGGAAAAATGACTAATCGACGTTTTTCTAAAAACGAGTTCTGTATATACCCCGCCATCGCACGGCCTGTTCGGATCTAGCGACCTCTGCAGATTCGACTATGGCATTATGGGTATCGTTCTCATCGTCTCCAGTTTACTTCTATGCATGCATGTCCTCAATGTCGACGGCCACGGCGATCGCCGGCGATGGTCCGCCGTGTTACGAACGAGACGGCGTTGTGGTTAGCCTCGCCGGAAGGTGAGAACGCGCAGCCTGGCTGCGGCGTCGTCGGCTGGCATGTCTGTGTGCTCTGCTTGGCTGTGGTTGGCTTCGCCGGAAGGTGAGAATACTCAGCCTGGTTGCGGCGTCGTCGGCCGGCATGTCCGTGTGCTCAGCTTGGCTGTGGTTGGCTTCGCCGGAAGTTGAGAACGCTCAGCCTGGCTGCGGCGTCGTCGGCCGGCATGTCCGTGTGCCCAGCTTGGCTGTGGCTGGCACCGCGTCTGCCTCGTAGTGGCGTGCCCTTGGGCCATGCACTCGTGTTGTTGTTGTTACTGCTTTCGCGTACGCATCATGCCAGCCTACTTTGAGGCTCCCGACACTATGGCATGTGCTGATGTGCTTGGGCTCGAGACCAACGTTCTCACCAGCGAGGAGCTCGAAGCGGGTTGCGAGAAGCAAGGGGTCCGTGACCATGAGAGGGAACTGACCCAAACAAAGAAATGCTTAATATCGTTTTCCCGTTTTTCTCATCCAAACAAAAAATTATATAAACCTACTATAACAGAAATACTAGCGAAAACTGGTTTTCCTAAAATTTCTCTCAAAACTCGTTTCCTATAATCTTGCAACTAACTCTTATTATCCAAACAACCCCTTAATTGAGGAGTACATATCACTATTCTTAATGGAGGAGTACGTACATCGTTTCATTCGTACGTAAGACCACTCATCCATCAACATTCCTACCGGTCCATCGATCCCGTCCCTCACGCAGCGGTAGTAAAAAAACAATTTTTTCCTTGTTACTTCTCTCGCCTGCACTAAAAACGGAAGGCAAATAACAGCGGTGGCATGGGTAGGTCTCGGTGGTGGCCTACCGGTGTCGTGGCGGCTTCACGGTGGCTCGATGGATCTGCCCGCGGCAGTGGCCGGCTTCTCCGGGGTCGGCCTGTCTGCGGTCGGGCCGTCTCGACCTTCACCCCATCTCCTCGTCGCCTTGGCGCTACTCCCATTAATGGGCTGGTCCTCTCCCAACGGCGGTCCACAGCTCGTCTCGCGCCCAGTGCCGCAGGACCGAGCTCGTCTCGCGCACGATGCAGCAGGACCGAGCTCGTCTCGCGCATGGTGCAGCAGGAGTGACCTCGCCTCCCTCTCGATGCTACAGGACCTAGATCGTCTCGCGCTTAGAGCTGCTGGACGGGTCGGTGGATGCTAGACGCTGGGGGTCGCCCAGGGGCGTGAAAGGTCGGACCTTTCCGCTCATCTCTTTCGTTGGGGTGCGGCGGGTCTCGGGTGAGGTGGTGTCGAGGTCTTGGATGATGTGGCGGCGACCCTGGTGGTGGTAGCGCGGTGCTCTTGGGCAGAGCCCGTGCCTTGGTGCTGCCCGGTCACCATGGTCGTGTGGGTGGCGTGGTTACCGGGGTGTGGCGTTCGGTGGCGGTGAATGTTGGCTGAGGTGAAAGCCTACTCTATCTTCGGACGGACCGGCGGCGGCGAAGATCGTTCCCTTCTTGAAGGCGTCGTTGCGACTCTCATTGCCCATCATGCGGCTCCGGGGGAAACTCTGATCCTTGGATCGGGCGGTGGTGGCGCTCCGGTGTCGTACCCTTCCTGAAGGCGTCGTCTTGGAGCGCATGGTTCGTCATATGTAGCTTCATCTCTTCGGGGCGGTAGTGCTAGGGGTGGTGTTGCTGCGCTCAACGCCTATGTATCATGTCCTGGGTGTGTGCATGTGTTGCGGTGGCGTGGTGTGTGTTTGTATTGGGTGCTTGTTGATTGGTGCTTTATATATAAAGCGGGGCGAAAGCCTTTTTCGGTAGTCACCGTCTCCTCCCCTTCTCCCGTTCTCTTTCGAGAGATGGACATTGATGAGGACATCAATACAATTGCTACACCCACAGCCCCTGCTGCTATACATACTGGACCAATTACTAGAGCTCGTGCACGCCAACTAAATTACCAGGTACTTTCGTTTCTTGGTAATGATTCTAATGTTCATGAGAATATGATGCTGCCTAAATTGGATACATTTGTTTTGCTTACAAATGAAGGGCCTAGCTTGGAGAAGGATGAACATTGGAGCAAGAACAAGCATGGAGATGATGGCATGCGCAAGGGGAACAAGAACGGAGTTACAAGTGATGATTTCAGGACTTTGAAGCCACCATAATGGGTGCATGAAGCCTTGGACGAAATATACAAGATGCCACTTCATAAATTTCGTCCCGAGGCTATTTTAGGTGTTGCGTCACCTTATTATTGGGCCAGGCCCATGTAATTTCGAAATACATAAGTATAGTCTATTTTTAGAGTCCGTATGTGTGGGGAAACAAGAGATAGGGTTGATTTCGGACCCCTCCACCAAGGGCCACGAAATTCCCCCCTCTTCCTCCATATATACAGCCCTTAGGGCATCGTTTAGACTTTGGGTTTTGTTTAGATTAAAAGTTCACCATAACTGCAACTTCGCGTACTTCGTTTGTGTTCAACGACCAGACAAAGGCGTCACAGAACCCCACCTTGATCAATAAAGCTTTCATCTTATATTCGCAATATCCAGATTGCAATCTTAGTTTCTTGCTTGTTCTTCGTTTGCTCGCAGGAAACAGACCCTCGTGGTCAGGTTGATCGTGCTCCGGTGTGGTCAATAACCTCTCGGAGTTGGTTTAGCGATTGCTAAGGCGCGACGTCCTCGCACGTTCATAGTCGGATCGTCAAAGTCGACTACCACCAAAGCGATATCCATCATCTCATCGAAAGACGGGACACCTTTGCCTCTATCAAGTGGTATCAGAGCCAGGTTGCTCGGTGAGATTTTACAGTTTTTCGTAGTTTAGATCGAGTCTGTTCTTCATACCTACAGTCCACGAAAAAGCCAAAAAAAAAATTAGGGTTAGTTCATCATATCCGAACCAATCTGAGCCTTTGCATAATCTTTTTAGGGTTTTGCTTTGTTGAATTTGCAGTTGCATCGTCGTGTCTAGTTGCTGGTCTTAGCGTTAGTCTTTTAGAGTTTCGAGTTCTGGTCATAAGTTGTCATGCTGCCACCGCACCATCATCATCGCCCCTGTCACCTGCCACCACCGCTCCGAATCCGTATCCATATACCACCACCAATCCGTATCCATATACCACCACCGATCCATATCCATATATTACCACCACTGCCATATACCACCACCGCTGCCATATACCACCACCATATATCCACCACCAATCCGAGTTCCTTGCATATTAGGTGTGTTTTCGAGATCCATCTAGATTCCGATTCGTGTTTCCTTGCCGAAGTAGGTTTCGAAAAAAAAAAGTCCGGAAACCACCCTCCGTTTAGGCCCAAAATTTTTCAAAAACGCATTTTTCGAAAAAAATTCTGGTTATCCTATTTTTAGGTGTTTCTGAGTGTTTTGAGACAGGTGCCATTATAGGAAGTTTTTTTTGACCCGTTTCCAGTTTTTGGGTCCGGGCAGTCAAAAAAAAATTGGTCAAAAAAAATTTCGTGCCCATCCTACCAGTTTGACCTAGGAAGAGTTTTGAGACACTCGCCATTATAGTGATTTTTCGCAAAAAAAAACAACGCAAAAAAAGAGCGAAAAAAAATCCAGAGTGTGCTTTTCCCTTGTTTATGTGCAGCGCCGTGATTTTGTTAGTATTCTAGGCTCGCGTCTCTAGCACGGTCTAGCCTAGGACCAGCACAGTACCATCGTTGAGCGTTTATTCAACTTTGCATCTCTGAATTGATTATTGCTGACCCATTTTGCTACCATATTATAAGCCTTCCCAGCTCCACATACATCTACGTCGTGCATTTGACTCTCCCTGGTAATCGCTCTATCCAAGCTTTGAGAGTTTTGACTACAACGGTTGCCGATCACCACCTGCTGCTGGGTAAGAACTGGTAAGAATTTGAGATTTGCTTGACGGGTTTGTGATACACCACCACCACTTCTTAGTAGTCTGTAGGATCATATTCTTGTGTGTTTCTATTTGCTGCTAACCATGGTAGGATCACAAGCCAATGAGACTGATTGGGAGAACCTGACGAACAAACAGCTACATGATAAATTTCAGCAAATGATGAGTGGACAGGTGCAAGATGTGCTAAACAGATTTGACGAGGCCATGGAGAAGATAGATGGCATGGAGAAGACGTTCGAAACAAAGCTTGATAGCAAGTTTAATGAATTGCTCGCACGTTTACCACTACCACCGCCGGCTGCACCTATCGCACCTCTGCAACACCAACAACAACGCATCCTTCCGAATCAGTATGGACGAGCGAAGCGTGTTCCTATTGAGGATGGCCAAACTTCTGGTGTTGTTGTTCCTGTTATTGATGCTTCTTTGGCTCCTGCTACTGCTGCTGCTGGTACCCAGGAGGATGATGAGTATGCGGGCAATTATGAGGATGAGGTTG